AACAAATTTAGCCTATGACTGTGTCTGCACTGCACCTGTATAACTTTTTAGTCTATAGTCTACTGTATGCATTTCTAGATAACCTCTCTTGGCTGCTGATTAAATCGCTGGTGTTAATCAGCATCAAAACCTGCAGATGGATTAATGTTCCTTTACTAATAGAGATGTGTGTTAAAGACACATTTTCTCTTTAACTTCAAAATGAGACACTTCTGGATGATCAGTAAACCAACAAAAAGCAAAACACATTGGCACTAATCTATGAAAAGAGGATTTATTTCAGACAATATAGGTTTTTTTTTTTTTACATTATTTTGCTTCCACAATGACAAAATGTCAGCTGTGATGTCAGACTGAAACAAGTGCAACAGATAAACTGATGGTCTGATCAAAGATATCATCATCCGGTGTGACGAGCTGTGTTAACTTTAACATACAGCACCGGCAGAATTAAAAAACAACACTTGATTCTTCAGACAACAGAAAACCCAGAATAAAGTCCAACACAGAGTCAGCAGCAGGTTTAAGATGGTGGTGGGGAGTGAGGGGGTGGTTAGTGGGTTCAGCTGGCAGCAGGGGGGGTTGTCTTGCTGCAGAGTCGACCCAGCAGACCGGCCATCTGCAGCAGGGAGTTCACGCCTTCAGCCACCCGCATGTGAGTGTAACCGATCTCCTGGAGGAAAGAACCAGAAGAAAATGAAGTAAGAAGTTCTTCTTCAGTTCTCTGTTAATTATCTAATGGTTTCCACTTAGTTTGAGCAGCGTCCTGTCAGGGGGTGGAGCCACGCCTCACCTTGATGAACTCCAGTTTGAGGTACTCGGCCATCTGGTAGGTCTTGCAGACCCTGAAGATGTTTCCGATAATGTCCTCTGGAGAGTAGCCCAGCGCCCACAGCTGCTCCACCACCTTGTAGGCCTGGTCGATGTTCCCGTCCACACAGTGTCCCAGCATGCTTTTCACCATCAGAGGGTGAGGCTCGTCGCACACCTTGAAGACATTCTCGCTGTTGATGTAGCCGAAGCCAGAGTTGGTCGACTGCAGGTTGTTCAACGCCTGTAAACACAAAAACATCAGGTCAGAGAAATGACCATACGTCTCAGGGCTGAGCATCACAATCTTAACTCCACCTCTCACCTGTCTCATGTCTCCTTGTGCGGTGAAGATGACTGCCTCCAGCCCATCGTCAGACACAGACAGACGCTCCTTCTCCACCACCTCCTGCAGCCGGGCGAGGATCTGTCCGTCCGTCAATTTGGAGTAACGCAGCACAGCGCAGCGGGACTGGATTGGCTCGATGATCTTATCTGAGGCGTTACAGGCGAGAGCGAAGCGTGTCGTCTTCGAGTAGATCTCCATGATCCTCCTCAAAGCCTGCTGAGCTCCATCCGTCATGCTGCAGGAGGGAGATGGAGACATTACTGTCTTACATAAACAAAATGAATGATATTCACTGACAGGGTGATTCATAAAGAGGAGGGATGAACAATTCATTGAAATATTATTGAAATCGCAATTTGTTCAAGTGCAAGATCCAAATCGCAGGAGCTGCAGGTCCCGACAGACCATAAATGAAGTGTTGTGGTGCTACAGAGACGCTCCAGCCTACAAATCATCTCGAGATGTAAGGGAACATGATTGTTTGGCACGAGCCCAAACAAATTCAAATGATCATCATCATTTTGTTTTTTCTTTTTAACTTTTTTTTTTTTTTTTATAGCACCAGTAGATATAAACAGGAAAGTGTGGGGAGAGAGAGAGAGAGAGGTAATGACATGCAGCAAAGGGCCCGGGCCTCTGCAGTAAGGACTCAGCCGCATTAGCACATGGAACGCGCTCTACCAAGTGAGCTTCCAGGCCACCCATGATCTTCATTTTGAGTGAAATTAAATGTAAAAATCCCCATTCCAAATGAAACTGTGACACATATCGCAATATCTTCCAAAATAATGATGATAATTCAGTTCAGCCCTAATAAAGAAGTTAAAAATAGTAACTGATAAAGTTGAAATTTAAAGTGCATTTTCCTTGCATCCCTCCTCGTGTTTTCAGTGGGAGGGAACCCTGGATGCAATCAAACATTGTCTCTCAAGGGGTTTCCTGGTTAAATAAAGGGTTAAATAGGTTTCATAATGAAACCGCTACCGTGAAAATGGAGAAGCTCAATAAAACTCAGAGCTCAGACCTTAAAAGGTAAAAAATTATCCCTTTTCAACAGGAGAGTTTCCTGTGGTGAACTGTTCCTGTAAACACCCAGAACAATGTTTGCTAAACTTTCTGCCATGTGACCCCTTCAAATGTATCTAAGTCGACTTGTAACCCCTCAGATCATCTGAAGGGTTTTTAAAAGGTCTGAAAAGAGTGAAAGTATCCAGTGTTTCACAAGAAAAACAACAGGACAAAATCAAACTTAATTTTTTGTAAGAGAAAGTTTTCTGTCTCTCATCCCTTTAGTGGTCTGGCGACGCTTTTAATTTATCTTGCAGGTGAAGTCGGGAAGTGATGACTCTGCTGCCGTCTCACCTGTCGGCTTCATCCAAGATGATGATCTTGTGTCGTCCTTTGGGCAGTGTGACTTTCTGCTGCGCAAACATCTTGATCTTGTTCCTCACCACGTCAATTCCTCTGCAGACACAACAGCAACAGTCACCATCGACTCACTAAACCAAACATTCATTAATTTCAGTGTGTGTTGGGTTTTTAGTGTTTAACAAAATAATCTTTTCAAGATAGTAAGTGGGTCTTGAGCTAAGATTATTGTGTCAAATATTGTTTTTTGTTTTCTAGATTATATCCAGTGAGCATCTCACCTGTCATTTGAAGCGTTGAGCTCCAGCACGGCGTCCTTCATGGAGGCTCCCAGCAGCGCTCGGGCCAAACACAAGATGCTGGTGGTCTTTCCTGTGCCGGGAGGACCTGGATCACAACAGTCAGATAGCCTCACTGATATACATGCTTTGCAATCTGAGAGATTTTTGCTGCTGTTGCTTCTGTTAGCAATGTATTTGTTTTAGGGTTGTGATGATCTTTCATAATGACCACCCCACTATTTTCCAGCTTGGTGTACAGGCAAGGAGAGTAGATTTGAAATGAATTTGCTAATTAAATGATTATAAACAGAAATTGTTTTAGTTGTACTGTAATTTTCCAAGGAAAACTGCCAAAGTTTGCCTGATTCCAGTAGTTTGAGTTTGTGGTGTTTGTATGACAAAAGGGAGAGCAGGGTGGGTAGTTTGAATCCCTGGCCATGAGGTCAGAACAGTGTCTTTCATGGTGGCTCGCTGTCTGTGGCTTCTGAGCTTGTTTGAATGAGATACAAACTGTAAAGCACTGTGGATAAAAACACTCTATAGATGCAGTCCATGCAGGAGTCTGATGGACACACGGTTGGCTGCAGAGGACAACTGACTTTGTAATTGAGTTACTACACTCACCAAGCTGACAGAAAGGCAGCGGTAACTCAGATAACCAACAAGTCTGGATGTGAAAAAAATAGTGAAGTCTCCATTTTATAATTAGAATAAAGTATCACAAATTTGAAAGTGGGTTTCAAACAGCATTAAACCTTTCCTTACAATGTCTTTTTTGAGAGAAAATGTATTTTCACAATACCACTTTAAGTTATGTTTCCTTTAATGTAATTGTGGCTGTCAGGTATATCCATAAAATATAAGGGTAAAACTACTATTACGTTTTCAGAAGGCCAGAGGAAATATTTAAGGCTTTGAACTGAATTCAAAAGTTTTTTAGAGTTTTTCAGACATGTAGATTCCCTGAGCACCATGCAGTGGTTGAACCACTGTAAAGACGAACTTACTTTATTCTCCAGCCTGTCAGACTCTACATTTTCTCGTTCTGACCTTTTCCCTCCGTGTTTCTGAACTGACCTGCGATGATGATGTTGGGGACGTTTCCCTCTCTTGCGAACACCTCCAGCCGGCTCACTGTCTCCTCGTTCCCTACAATCTCGTTCAGCTTCAGTGGACGGTATTTCTCCACCCAGGGCAGCTCGTAGGCGCCGCCAGAGCTTTTGGACGAACTCTCCCCAGCCTCCGTGCCCGTCTTTGGCCCGCTTTCTGTCGGTTTCTGCACACGCTCAGGCTCCGCCATCTCCACGTCCATGTTGACGGCTGTCTCTACTTTGTCAACCCGCGAACAGCAGCGGAACTTTTCCCTCCCTGGTAACCGCACGTCAGCAAACTGACGTCTCATTGGCCGTGAGTTTATTGGTGAGGGAACTGATTGGCCGAGAACAACGCGCTAAAACCTCGCGATACGTCCATAATACATCCACAACAATTGAAATGAAAGATGCCAAAAACAAACAAATGAACACAAAATGATCTTATGTTTGAAATTACAGTTACAGAATTTAAATATTTCATGTGGATAATACATTTTCAATGACAAAATGTTAAGTAATAGAGTATTTAATACAAATATTATTTCATATAAATGCGGCTTTATTTCTACATTATATATAATATATATACTATAAAATTTTAAATTTTTGTAAATCTTAATAAGCAGCTTATAAATGGATTTTGGTCCAGATGACTAACTGATCTGATAACTAATCTATAAAACATTAGTAAATGATGTATTACCTATCATCAAACCCGTTAGTTGCATCTCATAACAGATGTTATACAGATGTTCTCCTATTCCTGCGTATTCTGGTGAACTGTTGTTCTATTTCAGGTTTTTTTTTTGAGTGTATGGAGGTGAAGAATGTGGCGTGACAGCTCATGTTACTAGAACCTTTTTGCATCCACTGGGATTTACTGTTTTCTTATATGTCTGTTTCGTTCTTGACATATATTTTACAGAACAATGGAAAACCTATGTCCAAGGGCACAGGGAAAACTAAATACAGCCTGGACTTACTGAATATGCATTTATGTAGGTAAATAAATGAAAGAGACTGCCTCAGGAAGTCGTCATCCACTGCGTCTGAACCACTTCCTATTTCCGCAAACACAGCTCCGTGCAGCTTCCCGTTTATCGGTTGATCAATGCGGCGGTTGACTTCTGCCTTTCGTTTCCTGGCTCTGTTTAATATCCTCAGCTGTTCCGACATTTATGTGTAATTGATTAGCATCATGACGGCCAACAGCCGCTGTTCCGCCGCGGAGCCTCCGGGCCTGGAGACTCAGCGGCGGGAGATCGAGTCTCTGCTACGGGAGTGTGAGCTCCGGGCTGGGGACAGTTGGTGAGAGTCCGCCCGCCACACACACACTCACACATACAGACGGGGCTAACTGTTAGCATCACAGGGTTACCTAACGGTTATTAACGGGTTTAATGACAGGGGCATGTCGTTGGTGTGTCGGTGAGAGTTTGCTGAGGTAGTTTAACGGCTCGGTGTCGGGTGTTTGCCGCTGCTACCGTGTTAGTTCCTGCTAACCAGGCAGACGGTGAACGGACAGTTAGCCGACAGTGCTAACGTTAGCCTGTCAACCAGCTGTAGAGAGACGTTCAGGGTCCGCTCGTTAAGCTTCACTTTTGGTTTCAACAGAGCTGGGTAGGAATATGTGTACAGCACTTTTCAGGTCGCGTTTAATCCCAGTTTATTAGTCTCACGGGATCACAGTTTCAACCTCCAGACTTCCTAATGAGTCCTAATTTTCCTTTTCAGTTGATTTAATACTTATTTTGTTTGTTGACTAGTGTTTACAGAGTATCTGCATGTCCTGAAAAATCAAAGGTATTTGATTGCTTTAAATCAAATTAGTAAATCTTCAATCTTATCTCTTGGCTACTTGTAGGTGATGAAATGAATTAGTATGTGACTGCCAACTGTCAGGAGATGTTTTATATCTGTAAACTAAACGTGGGATAGTTGTGGCAGCGGATTGTGCTGCAGGAGACTGTTCAGTCAGTTATTTTCATTGTCATATGCCTGAGGTAATGTATTATAATATCTGGTTTTGTCTGGCAAGCTGTTAAAAGCTGTTACACAGATGTTTAATCAACTCTCATTGAATACCAGGAAAATTGTCAAACATTCACATTTCAGAGGCTGAAACAAGTGATTTTTGTGGCCTTTTTCCTTTGATAAAGCCTTAAATGATCAAACTGGGTGCCAGTTAATTTCTGCTCTACAGTGCTGGTTGTTTTCTAGGTGCCTGGGGAAATGATGAAACTGTATAATGGGAGTCAGCAAGGGCCTAACAACTCATTGTTGCCTTGGGCCCCTTAAGCAATATTTGTGGTGACAATTAAACACCAGAAAAGATGAAAACCCAGCATGTCATATCAATTACATGTGTTTAAAACACAGTTGTTTACAATTCCAATCAAAAATGGGGAATAGTCTGTGGCCCCGGCTTCTCAATTTTGAGCATTTACTTTTTTTATTTATCTTAATCAGTCAAAAGCTGAATAATTTTAGATTTTGGGTTGTTAACTGGTTTGATGACGTCAACTAGGCATTTTCTAATGTTTTTTAGACCGAGCAATTAATTGTGAAACTATTCTGCAGATTATTTATAATGAATATAATCATTAGTTGCAGCCCTAATGAAGTCTTTAAACTTGACATTTTTTTGTCAGAGTAAGATTAGATTAGATTAGATTAGATTAGATTAGATTAGATTAGATTATAAAATAACTTGCTGCTGTGTAGTGGAAACATGTTCTGTCAGATTCTGCAGCACCATGATTGGGCAGGTTTCTACTGTTGTTGGTACCAAACAGTGTTTTGCCTTCACTTGGTTTCAGTATCTCTTCACTGTCAGCACTGTAATAAATGAAAGTGTTGTCAGGAACACTACATGTCATTAAATGCACCTTACAGTTGTACAGTGTGATAATAAAAACTGTGTTTGGACATGGTATGATCTTGGATTTTAGACAAATGTTCTGATCAACACACGCAGTCACAGGAAACCAGACACTGATAAAAAACAACACTGAATGATAGACAGGTTCTTAGTCGCAACAAAAAGGCTGTTAGCTTTTTATTTTTTATAAGGTGGAAGGAAGCAAAGTGGTTCTCTGCCAAACTGTAATAAAAGAATAATGAGACCCAGAACTGACTGAATGGGGCTAAAAAGCAGAACAGAGGTTTTTAAAGGATCAAAAACACAGAGGGAAGAAATCTGATTCAGTCTCTCTGAAGTAAAGCAAAATGAAATGAAAACCAGAGCTGTGTGACGGCTGTCTGGTGACTTCAAGTGTTGGACTGGTTCAGATGGAGATATGACCAGTGTCACCAACTGTTGTGCTGGCCAGAGGAACAAGAAGATGGGCGAGTCCTGCACAAAATTCTGTGGAAAAATGATTGACCTTTGCAGGTTGTTTTGGCATTTAAAGGGGTTGGACTGTACCAGATTCACTTCTTGTGGTCACTGTTGCTCTTTTTTACTTTTGACATTGCATCTGAATCACAACAGATGGAGCTTTCAGTTGTAACCAGAACTAAATGTGTTGTTTGTTGTGTCCTGAACTGAATTTTCATCATCTAACTGTTTGTAAATTAAAACACTGACGAGTTGTTTGGAGCTTTCGATGTGTCGACTGTCAACCAGGGGGAGAAGAGCCTTTCATAAAACAGTGTGAACATACTTCTGTGGTGACTCGCACAAGAGGTGGAGGTGGTGGATGTGATACATGTCTGGACTCAGGGGGCAGTATGGATGAAATCCTCTACTGTGACGTGTGTCACTTTATATCACAATCACAGCTGAAATTAACCAACAGTTTTAATAATTTACTGACATTTTTCAAACAAAATGCAAGAATATTTCTGGAACCAGCTTCTCATGATTGCAGATGTGTTGCTTTACTTTAGGACTACTAGTGATTATTTTCATTATTAATGAATCTGTTGATTATTTTCTCGATTTAAGATTAGTTTTTTGTTGATAAAATGTCTTGTTTTGTTTGACCAACACTCAGAGACTAAGAAAACCAGAGAGTACTCAAATCTGTGAAACCAGAACAAGAAGATTTTGACATTCTTACTTAGAAAATAACTCAACAGTTAATCAATTATCAAAATATTTGAGAATCAATTTTCTGTCAGTTGACAACTCTACTTTACTACATCTTATATAATGGTAACCTCACTTAGTTTGGGTTTTTGCTGATTGGGGAAAACGATCAGTTTGGATACTTGTTCTTTGGACCTCCTGGTGTTTGTCATTTTGGCAAAATGTGTCATGGAGTCACCGACTGTAACATAGAGGTGGTTTTGATTACTTTGGCAAGACTCTGTTTGTGGTGTGATCCCATTGAAAGATGAACTCTAGCTATTTTTTTTCAGTTGATTGTTTGTTTATAAAATGTCAGAGAAAAAGGAAAATGTCCATCAGTTTCCTGAAGCCAGAGGTGATGAAACTGCTTCTTCTGTGGAATCAGAAGTCAAAAAAGAGAGAGAGAGAGAAATTATTTCAAATGAGGCGCAGAGACAGGTGGCGTCTTGTTTGGTCCAGCAGCTCACAGCACACAGAGCGTCTGTTGATATAAAACAGAAAAAAGAGGAAAAAGCTCAAATTTGAGAGGCTGCAGAAAAATAGTTGAAACCATTAATGGATAGTGATATTTTCAGATGATTTTTCTGTCAGTTGACTAATTGATTCGTCACCTACAGTCCTACAAAGGAGTGTCGTACTAACTCTGTGTGTGTGTGTGTGCGTGTGTGTGTGTGTGCGCGCGCTGCAGGTACGTGGTGGAGCATCGCTGGTTCGAGCAGTGGAAGGAGTTTGTGGAGAGTGGAGACCAGAACTCATCGTCCTTCCCCGGTCAGATTGACAACACTGAGCTGTTTGAGGGTCAGTTGACACTTTGCTCCGCCTCATCATGACATCACTTAAAAACTCCTCTCACAAACAACACACCCCTCCTCTGCTTCCCTGATTTCCCTATGCTGATTTCTGATCTCGAACATCCCCCACACCGCATACAAATTTATCCTCCCTGATCCTGAATGGAGGTTGATGTAACAGGGTGTAGTAAAAGTCACAGCCATGTTCACTCTGTTTTGGTGTTGCTGGTATTAGCTTAAGCTACTAAGACAAATATGAAAACAAACAAACCTTTATCTGGATCTAAGATAGTGACAACACAGAATCGGATTTCTGCAGCATCAGGTTTGAAGTGGTGACACTGTTCTGTCTTTTATAAACATCAGTGATCAGTCGTCTCCTGTTTTCAGATCTGGACTCATACCACCTGAAGGAGCGTCTGGTGGAGAACGAAGACTTTGTGTTGGTGCCAGCTGAGGCCTGGCACAAGCTGCTGGCCTGGTACGGCATGGTGGAAAGTCACCCGCCGCTGGAGCGCAAGGTAACGCCACCACCACACGCCACATACACTCAGTCTGTGGAGTATGAGACACTTTAACAGCAGCTCTGTGTGTGTTTGTGTGTGTGTGTGTGTATGTGTGTGTGTGTGTGTGTGTGTCAGGTGGTGGACCTGCCCAGCACTCTGAAGGTAGAGGTTTACCCCGTTGAGGTCTTCCTCTGTCTCCATAGCAACATGGAGAATGTCATCACCACACAGTTCAGCCGTACCGACAACATACGTGAGTTTGTCTGTGTGTGTTTAAGTTTGTGTGTGTATGTGTCGTCCTTTACTCCTGAACTGTTCATTTTAGTGTTGTTGTTGAAATGTGGTGACTGTCAGAAACTGACAGAAAGACTCAGTCTTTCTGAGGATGTGAATCTCTTTTAAACATTGTGTCATATGTGTGTTTTTGTGTTTGTGTTTGTGTTTGTGTGTGTGTGTGTGTGTGTGTGTGTGTGTGTGTGTGTGTGTGTGTGTGTGTGTGTGTGTGTGTGTGTGTGTGTGTGTGTAACAGAGTCCATCCAGAGAGCGATGTGTCAGGCCTTCTCAGTGCCTGCGGGCTCAGAGTGTCGTCTGTGGATGAAGAGTTCTGACAGTAACTGCGAGCGTCTCAGGAACATCCACATGAGTGTGCTGGACGCCTGTTTGAGCTCTGGGATGGTGAGGACAGACTCTGACACTGTTTAACACACAGACATGACCTCATCGGATCTGTAGATTCAGTCTGTGACAGAGGCAGATGTTCCTGTTGTTTCTTTACAACTTCCTCATAGCAGCAGCTCTTCATTAAAAAACAACCTGTCCACCTTAGAGATAAGCTGGAACGTGTGTGTGTGTGTGTGTGTGTGTGTGTGTGTGTGTGTGTGTGTGTGTGTGTGTGTGTGTGTGTGTGTGTCAGACGGTGATTATGGAGACGAGGAATGCTGATGGCACCTGGCCGAGCTCCAGACCTCAGATCATGTAAGAAAACTCTCTGTCTCTACTTCTCTGTTCATCTGTTTTGAAATTTTTAATATCTCACACTCTACCTTTCTTTCTGTCTTTCTTTCTTCCCTTTCTCTCTGTCATCCGTCCTCTGGTTTGTCCCTCCTCTGTTCCTTCCCGTCTGTGGAGTTCTCTTGTTCTACCTGACTCATTGTCTTCACATCACTTTCAGTTTTGTTTCCCCTGAAAACCTCTCCTCTCCCTTTCTCTTTCCCTCTCACTCTGTCTCTCCCTCTGTCTCACCCTCTCCTGCTCTGCTTGTTTTTCTTTCTCTTCACTGTTTGCTCTTTTTTTTATTTTGACTTCATCTGCTCCTGTTTTGCAGAGTCACCAAAAGTTCAATTATTTTATACACATCTTATATACACATGTCCTCTTTACAACAATCAACTGACAAGTTTATTAATAAACCATATCAGGTCCCACTCACTGCAGTCAGGTGTTTAATGTTAATTCATCCACATAATGTATTTCAACGATGGCAGAAGAAATAAGAGAAACACTCTTTGTTTGCAGCCTCCACAGAGAGCATCCAGAGAATCATCATGTTTTTATCAAAGCCATCCAGTGACACTTGTCTGTAGTGTAATTGTAGTTTATTAAAATACTGCAATAGTAATAATTGTACTTTTATTAGTGTCAATAATATGAGCAAATATAGCAGCTCAAAAGAGATTAGCTGAAGTTACAACACCACATTTGATGAACCTTTCCAGGGTCTTGCTCTCCTGATCCTCACGGCTGAATTACAACAGAATTATAAATCATATTCAGCGCTGCTCGCCTGCCTTCACTTCCTCCTCCTGTTTCCATGTGAACGCAATGTTAACCCTCAACAGTCCTGGTCTGAATCTGCTGCTGCTGTTTTCAGGAGGAACTCTGTGGAAGAGCAGGACTCGTACCGAGGACAGCCAGGAGTCTGTGGCCTCACCAACCTGGGCAACACCTGCTTCATGAACTCTGCTCTACAGGTCTGTACAGGCCGAACACAGACACACCACACACACACACACACACACACACACACACCCCCACACACACACACCCACACACACACACACACACACACACACACACACACACACACACACACACACACACACACAGATCAAAATCTGAAGAGAAGGGTTGGGCTGATTCTGTTGATCCCAGAAACGAGACCAGTCAGGCATCGTTGTGATTAACAAAGTATATTTCGATTGTTTTTGTTGAAATGGTTGTCTGGACGACCTGCAGTTAGTTCTGGTTAATTACCGACAAACGTGGACATCAAAACGCTACATTCTTCTACTGGCTGCACAAAATACAGTCTGATCCGATTCTGATTCTTCCTCCACAGTGACGACATTTCACTGTGTCACTAGTATCACTGTGTTTCGGAGCATCGCTGCGGTTTACCATGTTATAAACACAGAAACTCAGCAGGTTCTTTACTGTTGAAGAAACATTTAGACCTTGAACCTGCTCCAGTTCAGAACTAGCTTTCTGTGCTGAACCCTGTTTAGAAGGAGCAGAGTTTTTTTTCCTGGTTCACATTCATGCATCTCTGAAGTTCTCTGATTGGATGAACCTGCTCAGTACATAATTAACACCTGGAGGGTGTCTGTGTCTGTCCTGCTCCTAAGATTCTGGTTCTCCCACAGAACCATTTTATAAATATTCATTTATAACTTCACCAGGTTTAAACAGTAGCTCCTCTCCCTGTGTTAACTTTGAGCTCGCTCTGCTTTGTCTCCCTCTGTCCGTCCTGACACCTTCTCTCTCTCTCTCTCTCTCTCTCTCTCTCTCTCTCTCTCTCTCTCTGTCTCTGTCTCTGTCTCTGCAGTGTTTGAGTAACACCCCTCCCCTGACTGAGTACTTCCTGCAGAGCTCCTACCTGGAGGAGCTGAACTTCACCAACCCTCTGGGGATGAAGGGGGAGATCGCCGAGGCCTACGCTGACGTCATCAAACAGATGTGGTCGGGGAGGCATTACTCCGTGGTGCCGCGCGTCTTCAAGGTACCAAAGTGTTAAACTGATGACTGAGTGATTAAACACATATGTCTTAGTTTCATCTATGGATTAATACCACAGCAAGTAAGAGCCCTGAAGCAGCGGTTTGGTAAACATCATACAAAAGAGCTCAAATTAGTTTTAGGTGCTGCGTTTGTTGCTTTTTGTTGTTGCAGTACTTTTTAATTCATTCTCATGTGATTTATTGTTCTGATATAAAATCATCAGCGCTTCTCTCTGAGCTCTGTATCTCTGAGTCAGTGAAGCCTGAAGTCTCCATGTTAACCTTCACTGTGAAATGCAATGTGACAAATTAAATGGTCTGTTGGGGCTGTTTGAAGATGCAGAACCAAAACCACTTAACTCTGCTGACGAAGCTTTGTCCTGCTTTTATACTTAATGAGGAAATGCACACCAAATGTGGATTCATCTGCTGCTGAAAATAGTCCCCCACAAATGCACCATTTCCTCTGTTTGTTAAAAACTACCGTGAGCAGCTATTTTAAGAAATGACTGAGACTTTTTTTTGTAAATGACACTTTATGTTTGGAAGTGGACATCGCATCTATCCCCTCCAGTTCTATGTTTGGTTGTGAAAAATAATGACTTGGTGAAAACAGAGAGAAAAAGATGTTTTCACATTCAGTTGTTTCAGACTGAAATTCAGATGTTACTGTCATCTGTTCTGAATGACACAGACTAAGCCACTGTTCAGACCTGGTATTAACATCCATCCCGGGTGATCTGATCACAAGTGGACAGCTCTTGAGATGCATTGAGGATGCATTTGAGATCCAATCACTGAGATCCAATCACTGAGACCACATTCAGAGGAGGTTTGGACCACATGTGGCCACAGGCGTGAACTGATGTACGTAGAGCCGACCACTTGTGATTGGATCACTGAAGACGCATGTTAATATAGTTTTGAACAGGGCCTGACTTACTATAAAACTGTGACTACAAACAACGTTGTGTGTGTGTGTGTTCATGCAGACAAAGGTGGGTCACTTTGCGTCTCAGTTCCTCGGTTACCAGCAGCACGACAGTCAGGAGCTGCTGTCCTTCCTGCTGGACGGACTGCACGAAGACCTGAACCGAGTCAAAAACAAAGAGTACATCGAACTGCGGGACGCTGACGGACGACCAGACCAGGTGAGCTGCTACAGCTGAACACCACCTGAACAACACCCGACACTCAGCTCAGTCCATACTGTGGTCTTTTCTGTCACCTAAATATATTCCTAATGTTTACAATAACTTATTTTAAGCTCCAAACAAATGAAGTAACGTTGTTCTAAATTGATGTTGTTGTGATTCTTCACTGTTCTTCTTCCTGTCCAACAGGAAGTGGCGGAGGAGGCGTGGCGTAACCACCGCCGGCGGAACGACTCTGTGATCGTCGACACGTTTCACGGCCTCTTCAAGTCCACACTCGTCTGTCCTGAGTGCCGCAAGGTTTCTGTGACCTTCGACCCCTTCTGCTACCTGAGCATCCCACTCCCTGTCAGCAAGGAGCGCGTCATGGAGGTCTTCTTCGTCTCTCTGGACCCGTACGCTAAACCTGTTCAGGTAACTGTTTCTGTCTTTTATTAGTTCACTGTTTCTGCTGTTTGACTTTCTCCACCTCCAACATGATGGTGAAGTGTCAGGAAAATGAAGAATATTAAACTGTTTGTGCACAATATGGATAAAATATAAAATATTTCCTTGTGTGTGTCAGTAAATACTGTTTGTGTGTTTGTGTTTGCAGCATCGTGTTGTGGTTCCTAAAGCAGGGAAGGTTTCTGACCTTTGCTCTGCTCTGTCAGATATGACCAGCGTACCTCCCACACAGGTCAGTGTGTGTGTGTTTGTTTATCAGCAAGATTACACAAAAAGTAGTGAACTGATTTGCAGCTAAACTTCCTGGAGGGATGGGGGATAGGCCAGGGAAGAACCCAGTGTGTTTCTCTGCAAATTCTTGTTTGAACTGATGAGACGGAGACTGACAGGATCAGAGACGGAAGGTTAACGAAGGTTGTGGCTCAGGATGTAGAACAGGTTCGCTCCCCGACTCCTTCAGTCCACATGTTAAAGTGTCCTGAGGCAAGATACTGAGCTCTAAATTGCTCCTAGTGGCTGTTCCATCAGTGTTTTTATGTATGTGTGAATGGGTGAATGTGGCAAGTAGTGTAAAGCGTTTTGAGTAAAGTGCTGTATAAGTGCAGTCCATAACTTTGTGTGTGTGTGTGTGTGTGTGTGTGTGTTTCAGATGGTGGTAGCTGATGTTTTCAACCATCGTTTCTATAAGATCTACAACGCTGATGAGTCTCTGAGCTGCATCCTGGACCGAGATGACATCTTTGTGTAAGAACAACTTTTTGGTCTGTTTGAGGTCGATGAGGAGAGAATGTGTCAGATTCCTACAACAAACGGCACTGATTCACCTCAGGGTCCTCTCCAGCCTGAAGCCAACCTGCTGTCTAACGTGTGTGTGTGTGTGTGTGTGTGTGTGTGTGTGTGTGTGTGTGTGTGTGTGTGTGTGTGTGTGTGTGTAGATATGAGCTGAGCGTGCAGGAGGAGCAACAGGAGGAGCAGGTGCTGCTGGCTCTCTACCTGAGGGAGCGCTCTCACTACAGAGACTATGGCTCGGGCAGCAGCTCGTACGGCACGTCGCTGTTCGGACACCCGCTGCTGCTCGGCGTGCCGCGCAGCAGCTGCAGCCAGGAGGCGCTCTACAACCTGTTCCTGCAGAGGCTGGCGTGAGCACAACACACACATTATTAGTGCACTTCTTATGCTTTCATATTTTTAAGCATTTTAACTATTATTACCACAAAGTCTCATTGCAATGAATATTACTTACGTGTGTGTGTGTGTGTGAGCAGGCGCTACGTGCGGCCTCCTGACCCTTCTGAGGAGTTGGAGGAAGAGGAGGAAGATGATGATGATGAAGAGGAGTTGTACAAGACTCAGACCAACGGCATCAGTGATGGTATTGTCCCCTTCTGCAGCTACAAGCTTGACAGACAGAATAAAAACAGCTCAAATGTACAAACATCAGTTACACTCACTGTTTACAAATCTGACAAAACACACTCTTTTATTAGTCAGCAGTAAAGTTTCCAGCTCCTCACGTGTCAAGAATTTCTGCTTTTCTCTGTTTTGTGGTTATTTTGTTAATTATATTATTTATTATTCTGTGCAAATACAAACTCCTGGCCTACGTGGACCTGTAAGACACCAAATATACTGTGACAGTGGTGAAACATCAGTCAGACAAGAACACAACCTCATATACACACACAAAACACAGTTTGCTCAAATCTGTAAAAAGCAAAGAAATCATCATAAACATAAAATAACTTTGTCGTAACAAACTGGGCCATCAAACACACCATCAGAGCAGCTTCATATTGTATTAAATAAACACCTCCATCAAATTCTGAGCAGGTTTAACAGCAAGTCACCAAAACACATGATTCATGCAACACTGGTCGTTCAACAGAGGACACTCAGACAGATGGGAATCTTTGTAGATTAAATAAATCAAATCCTAAAAAGACATTTTAAGACGCCACTTTAATCTTTGTGATATAGCTTTGACGGTTTTCTGACATTTAATAAACCAGGCAGTGATTAATCAAAAAATGCTTGAAAGATTCATTAAATGAATGAAACCTATTGTTGCAAACAGGCTGAGCTGTCAGCTGTCCTCTGATTGATTCTGTGTGGTTTTCTCAGATGAGCAGCAGGACACTGCAGACAAAGCCGGACCCTCTGAGACAGAACCCTCCTGCAGTGATGCTTCCGCAAACAGCCAATCAGAGGACACCGCTACCGCCGAGCCCCTCCCTGATCTCAACCACAAGCAGCCCTCACTGGACCATGGTGACACGGAGACCAATAACGGGTCCCAGGACCAGACTGATCCCCCCTGCAACGCCGAAGCCATCAACAGCACTGAAAACACCAGTCCCTGCGGAGACACTAGCAAGACCACCGACACTGACACCAGCTCAGAACCGCCAGCAGAGCAACCACCGCAGGCCTGTGAGACTACAGAGGAAGAAAAAGAGGAAGACAAGCAGGAGGAGGCGTGTTCTCCCAGCCCGCCGCCCAATGAGCAGCCGGCTAAGAGGAGGGCGTGTCGTAAGAGGAGGAAGAGTTTGTTCACCATCCAGGCGGTCAACTCCAATGGGACGACTGAGAGAGGGATGGGAGAGGGAGGGAGCGCCGTGTCCTTCAGCTGTAAGTTTGGACACGCACACAGTTACATGATGAAAGACAACACTCCCACCAAGACTTAATTTATATTTCTGCCCTTTTGTCTCTTGAATCTTGTTGGTTTTTTTGTTTTCTTTTTAAGACATTTAGATAAGAGTAAAAAAAACAGTAACAGCTACAAGAGAGAGAGAGAGAGATGAGGACAAAATTATCAATTTAAACAATCAACATTCTGACAATTATTCCATTAGAAAGAAACTAAACGCTGATTTCCCCACAGTGATCTGACTTAATTGTTCCTGAGAGAAGCTCAGACGATGAGACAATGGTTATGAAATAAAAGTTCCCCATTAGCTGGAGGTTAAATATTCAGCAAATATTGTCAGAATGAAGCTGCACATTCAAACAGTTTCACCCTCACATCCCGGATCATGCTGTGTTTGAAAAACCACATTGATCTATTATCAAATGGCATTTTCAGCATGAAACATCTGTGCATGGCTCCTCAGGAAAGAAGCAGGTGTCCCAGCCTTAAGTACTCAATAAAGGGGTTTCTATACAGGGTGAAACAGCTGCTGATAATTTCCTCATCTCATTGTCTCAGAGAGAAATTGTCAGTACTTTGAAGTCAGAAGAAGAAATTTGAACAGACGCAGCAGCTGTAGAAGATTACTCATATTGACCTCAGTTTGTTCTGCACCAGTCGTGCTGCAGTTCCTCACAGAAATGTCATAAAAAGCTCTTGTTAGTGTCCCTTATAACTTGACTCCTCAGTCATTTTATAACAGCAATTATATTTCCTGTGTGATCTTCTTCCCACTTCTTTATTGTCCCTGAGGGGAAATTAGTCTTGCAGCCACTTGAGACACAGACTTAAACATAAAATATATAAAACACATTGATGAGGCAGACACGATGGTGTGAGCTCAGCTCTGACGACGCGTCTCACATCAGCTGTAAATTGAAGAGTTCGCTCAGTCACTGAGTTTGTAAGTAAAGTAAGTAAAAATTTATTTATAAAGTTCGATAAATTTCGATGTTCGATAAATAGTTCGATAAGTTCGATAAATATGACAATAAAAGCAGTAAAGTAAATAAAGATCAATAAAATAAATTGAAATATGACAATAAAAGCAATAAAATAAGTAAAGAGTTACACAATAATGGGGAGGTATTCAAATAGACTAACCAAACGCCTATCTGAATAAAAATGTTTTCAGCTGCTTGCTGAACAGGAGCCTATGGATCACAGGGATAGAGAATGTTCCATTATTTAGGAGCCACAGCTTGAAAGGCACGGTCGCCTCGAGTCCTATAGCAGGTTCGAGGGACGGCCGGTAATTTTTGCTCAGAAGATATGAGAGCCCGATTTGTTGTATAAGGGAGGGGGAGGTCAGCAATATATTGAGGTGTTTGATCATGCAAGGCTCTAAAGGTGAGCAACAGTATTTTAAAATGGATACGGATTTGATTTATACTCTCCTTGTTTTAAAATCATTTCCAAGCTGTTTTAATAGGTAAAATTCTCTCAAACTCATGTTCTGCTGAAAGAGGACAATATCAATATTTGAAACAAGTGAAAAGCTGCTTCTGCTGCCTGCAGATTACATGCTTCAAGAAGGAATAATGAGAAGCTGCAAGCCACATTACATCTGTATTAAAATTATTTGGAAACATTTTCCATTTCATGTAAATTAACTAACTAACTTTCTGTCTCTCTGCAGCTCAGCCTTATGTGGCCATCGACTGGGACCCTGAAATGAAGAAGAGGTTCTACAATGAAAATGAAGCTGAGGTCAGTGTGAACATATGTGTGTGTGTTTGTTTGGATTACAGACTGTGTATGTATTGAAGATGCTAAATCTAGATTTTGTCACAGATATTACCAACAATCATCATTTTCACCTGTGTCCTTACAGCTTCTTCCTCCTCTCACGCCTCTACACTCTTCACACTATGATGTATTGGTTGTAATGAAACATAAACATATATTAAAATTTTCTTTTTCTTTCTTTCTCCTCCTGTGTAGAAGTACATCAAACATGCCAGTATGGAGGTTCCTCAGCAGCAGACCACAGTTCAGCTGCAGGAGTGTATCGAGCTGTTCACCACTGTGGAAACACTGGAGGAAGAGAACCCATGGTAACACTTCACACACACTCTACCTCTCCTGATGATGAGCAGGTGAGGAAGATGTATGATGATGATGATGTGTGTGTATGTATGTGTTTTCAGGTACTGTCCAGTGTGTAAGAAGCACCAGCTGGCCACTAAGAAGCTGGACCTCTGGTCTCTGCCAGAGGTTCTCATCATCCACCTCAAGAGGTTCTCTTACACCAAGTTCACCAGAGAGAAACTCGACAGCATCGTGGACTTTCCCCTCAGGTACACACACACACACACACACACACACATACACACACACACACACACACACACACACTCTCACTCGCTCCTTGGAGGTCTCTGAGCTATTGTTTTTAATGCAGTTACTAAATTAGTGCAGACACATTCTGTTAATCTAAGATTTTAAGATTGCAAAAACTACTGCTGAAACTAAATTCAATATCAATGTTGCATCAAACTCTACTGTACGTTGTGTTGTTGTTACAGAGACCTGGACTTCTCCGGCTGCCTCCTGAGGAAAAGTCTGTCCAATGGGGAGCCTCCAAGCCGCTATGACCTCATCGCTGTGTCCAATCACTACGGAGGACTCAGAGATGGACATTGTAAGGCCCTTTGGTTTAAATTGTACACACCATATATCACTCTGCAATTAGATTAATAACTGGCAACCCTTATTGAACAAACTATTGTACTTGCACATCTTTTTATGTAAGAAGAGAGCATCATTTGCTTCTATTTATTTGTAAAGGTTGCCTTAAAAGATTACTCATTTACTTATACTTTACTTATATACTGTATGTGTATGTTAATATTCAATCTTTTTAATAGCTTTCTCAGCTACTGTAATGTTGAATCACACAGATCATGTTGAAGGTTTTATTAGTGATAAGACTCCTTTTGTATCTTAACTACCTTGTACACTCATAATTGTCTGTGTTCCTCAAGACACCAGCTATGCGAAGAATAAGGATAATGGTCAGTGGTATTACTTTGACGACAGCAAGGTGACCTACGCCAGAGAGGACCAGATTGTGGTCAGTATCATGCACACAACTGATACAGAACTGTTAGGACAGTGTCCAGTCGGTCTATTAAAATCCAGATACTTGTCAATTAATCTGTGAACTCAGATTCAAAGGTAAACATGTACATGAGGAATCTGCTAGATTAGTGTACATACTGGGAAAAATAACCACAACACCAATGCATTAAACTAGAAGGGGGTCCCAGGTCAAAATTGTTGATATAGTTACTGTTTAAAACCCTATTTATCCTGCAGCTGTCTTCAACTACAGTGAGCACAATGGCATAACAAGTCATAGTATCATGAAAAATGTCATAAAAATGTCATAGTATGGGGCATCGTGTGGCGTAGTGGTCTAAGCAGGCGCCCCATGTGTAGAGGCTACAGTCATCGCTGCAGTCGGCCCCGGTTCGAGTCCCGCATAGGACGGCCTTTACTGCATGTCATTCCCCCTCTTTGCCTCCCCATTTCCTGTCTGTCTACTGTCAAATAAAAGGCATAAAAAGCCCAAAATAACATACTTTCAACAAAAAAAAAATGTCATAGTATACTAAGGCAGAAAATGTCATCAAAATTTCATGTTAAGTCATAAAAATCTCAAAAAGTCAAATGACACAAAACATGTCATAGTATTGTAAGGCATGAAATGTTATCGTATACTATGACATTTTTATGACTTTATTTGCTTAAGTACTAAGGCATAAAATTGTCAGAATAAGGCATGAAAACTAACAACAAAGTCATAAAAATACATTACATGACATTTTTATGCCTTACTATACTATGACATTTTTATGCCTTAGTATACTAAAAAAAGCCTATGCAATATTATTATAATTAATTTATTATTATTATTTATTATAATTATATTATAATTAAGGCATGAAATATATGATTTATGATATTTTTGTGCCTTAGTATTCTATGACATTTTTAATCACATTGTTATGCCTTAGTAGACTAGAGCAAAAAATGATAAAAATGTAATTGTATCCTGTGACATTTTCATGCCTTACCATACAATGATTTTTATTTGTTTTTTTGTGCCATACTATACTGTGATGTTTTTTTGCCATCTTTCAGCCTTGGTATACTATGATGTTTTAAGAGAATTTTATACCTGACTATACAATGACATTTTTTGATATTTTTAGGCCTGACTATACTATGATATTTTTGGACATTTTATGACATTTTAATGCCATATTATACTATGACGTGTTTGACATTTTTTTGTGCCGTACTAATCCTATGACATTTTTCATCTAAATTATATTATGAAGTCTTTGACATTTTTAGGCCTTAGTATACTATGATGTTTTTTGACAGTTTTATGCCTTACTATACTATGACATTTTTCATCATATGCTATGACGTTTTTGACATTTTAATGCCATATTATACCATAAAGTTTTTTGACATTTTTTATAGCATACTATAATATCACATTTTTAGACATTTTTATACCTTACTTTACTATGACATTTTTCAGCCATTTTATACCATAACGTTATTTGACATTTTTAGCCCAACTATAATATGACCTTTTTTGACATTTTATGCCATACTATTCTATGACCTTTTTTGACGTTTTATGCCATACTATTCTATGACATTTTTATGCCATACTATATTATGATATTTTTAGGCCATACTATACTATGACATTCTTTGACATTTTTATGCCATACTATATTATGATATTTTTAGGTCATATTATACTATGATGTTTTTTGGCGTTTTTATGCCATATTATACAATGACATTTTTATACCATAATATACTATGACGTTTTTTGTCGTTTTTATGCAATACTATATGATAACATTTTTATGCCATACTATACTATGAAGTATTTTGACATTTTTATGCCTTACTATAAGATGATGTTTTTGGACAATTTTTTACCTTACTATACTGAGACATTTTTAGGTCTTAGTATAATTTGACATTTTTATACCATATTATACTATAACGTTATTTGAAATTTTTGTGCTGTACTATATTATGACGTTCTTTGACATTTTTATGCCATACTATACTATGACGTTCTGTGACATTTTTATGCCATACTATACTACGACGTTTTTTGACATTTTCATGCCGCACTATACTATGACACTTTTTATCAATATTATATTATGACATTTTTTACATTTTTATGCCTTACTATACGTTGATGATTTTTCACATTTTTATGCCCAACAATGAAATAACCTTTTTTGACATTTTTGTCATACTATACTATGACGTTTTTTTTCTATACTATACTATTTGTAGGCCATACTATACTATGACATTTTTTGACATCCTGTACTATGATGTTATTTGAAATTCTTATGCCATGCTATACTATGATGTTTTTTGACATTTTTATGCCTTACTATACTATGACATTTTTAGACGTTTTTATGCCATACTATACTATGACATTTTTAGACGTTTTTATGCCATACTATACTATGACATTTTTAGACGTTTTTATGCCATACTATACTATGACATTTTTAGACGTTTTTATGCCATACTATACTATGACATTTTTAGACGTTTTTATGCCATACTATACTATGACATTTTTAGACGTTTTTATGCCATACTATACTATGACATTTTTAGACGTTTTTATGCCATACTATACTATGACATTTTTAGACGTTTTTATGCCATACTATACTATGACATTTTTAGACGTTTTTATGCCATACTATACTATGACATTTTTAGACGTTTTTATGCCATACTATACTATGACATTTTTAGACGTTTTTATGCCATACTATACTATGACATTTTTAGACGTTTTTATGCCATACTATACTATGACATTTTTAGACGTTTTTATGCCATACTATACTATGACATTTTTAGACGTTTTTATGCCATACTATACTATGACATTTTTAGACGTTTTTATGCCATACTATACTATGACATTTTTAGACGTTTTTATGCCATACTATACTATGACATTTTTAGACGTTTTTATGCCATACTATACTATGACATTTTTAGACGTTTTTATGCCATACTATACTATGACATTTTTAGACGTTTTTATGCCATACTATACTATGACATTTTTATGCCATACTGTACAATGACGTTATTTGAAATTCTTAGTCCATGCTATACTATGACGTTTTTAGATGTTTTTATGCTATACTATACTATGACATTTTTATGCCTTTCTATACTGTGACTTTTTTGACGTTTTAATGCTATACTATACTATGACATTTTTAGACGTTTTTATGCCATACTATACTATGACATTTTTATGCCACCCTATACTATAACATTATTTAAAATTCTCATGCCATGCTATACTATGATGTTTTTATGCCTTACTATACTATGATATTTTTAGGCCATACTGTACTATGACATTTTTTGACGTTTTTATGTCATACTATACTATGACGTTTTTTGACATTTTTATACCATACTATACTATGATGTTTTTTCACGTTATTATGCAATACTATATGATAACATTTTTATGCCATACTATACTATGAAATATTTTGACATTTTTATGCCTTACTATAAAATGACATTTTTAGACAATTTTTTTTACCATACTATACTATGACGTTTTTATGCCATACTACCATAATACTATGACATTTTTATGCCATATTATACTATGACGTTATTTTGAATTCTTATGCCATGCTATACTATGATATTTTTAGGCCATACTATACTATGACGTTTATATGCCATACTATACTATGACGTTGTTTGACGTTTAATTACATAGTATACTATGACATTCTTATGCCATGCTATGGTATGATGTTTTTTGACATTTTATGCCATACTATACTATGACATTTTTATGCCATCCTGTACTATAACGTTATTTGAAATTCTTATGCCATGCTATACTATGATGTTTTTATGCCTTAGATGTTTTTTGACATTTTATGCCATACTATACTATGACATTTTTATGCCATCCTGTACTATAACGTTATTTGAAATTCTTATGCCATGCTATACTATGATGTTTTTATGCCTTACTATACTATGATATTTTTAGGCCATACTATACTGTGACATTTTTTGACGTTTTTATGCCTTACTATACTATGACATTTTTTGACGTTTAATGACATAGTATACTATGACAATTTTATGCCATGCTCTGGTATGATGTATTTGACATTTTATGCCATACTATACTATGGCATTTTTAGACATTTTTATGCCATACTATACTATGACATTTTTATGCCATCCTGTACTATAACATTATTTAAAATTCTTATGCCATGCTATACTATGACGTTTTTAGACATTTAATGCCATACTATACTATGACATTTTTTGACATTTTTATGCCATTCTGTACTATGATGTTATTTGACATTCTTATGCCATGCTATACTATGACGTTTTTAGACATTTAATGCCATACTATACTATGACATTTTTATGCCTTACTATAGTTTGACGTTTTTATGTTATACTATACTATGACTTTTTTGACATTTATGCCATAATGTACTATGATGTTATTTGTCATTTTTATGCCATACTATACTATGACGTTTTTATGCTACTCTATACTATTTTTAGGCCATACTATACTATGACATTTTTTTTACATTNTATGCCATACTCTACTATGATATTTTTAGGCCATACTATACTATGACATTTTTTGACGTTTTTATGCCATACTATACTATGACAATTTTATGCCATCCTGTACTATGACGTTATTTGAAATTCTTATGCCCTGCTATACTAAGACATTATTTGACATTTTATACCATACTATACTATGACGTTTTTATGCCATACTATACTATGATGTTTTTATGCCTTACTTTACGTTATTTTAAATTCTTCTGCCATGGTATACTATGATGTTTTTATGCCATACTATACTGTGATATTTTTAGGCCATACTATACTATGGCATTTTAATGACTTACTATTCTATGACATTTTTATGACATACTCCACTAAGAGGTTATTTCACATTTATATACCATA